GGAAGTGCGAATCGGTGTATGTGCGGAGCTGTGGCTATCACCCAGGTATTTGTTGTTTTGCCTGTTTATTACGTCTGTCATTCGTCCGATTGTGGGAACCCTGACTCTAGCTGACCTTCGTTATTTACAACCAACCGGTATCCGCATTCGCCTACAGGCCTAACTAGGTACCCATGGCTTACGGGTTAGCAAGCGGTTGTGCCCATCGTATCGTGTTGTCTCTGTGAAACCAAGCCGCACCATTACTTTCACCACATCACAAGTGGTTTCATTTGCCAAGCATGCCAACTCCTTCGGCTTTTACTCAATCGTTCTGTGATGTATTTCCCAACATGACATTTAAGTAAAACCCGTGGTTTTTGGGTGCCGTGTGAATCACTTGAGTACTGCGTAGTGGGACAAACGCGCGAAACTGCTGAGCCTATGGCAACTGTGTTTCGCGCCTTTTTTACCCTTGTCTCTTGTCCACATGGCTCTACCGCACCTCCAAACCTAGCGAAGAACAACGGAACTCAGTATACAACTTCCTTTCATGTCTTTTCTCCCACGGAATGTGTATCAACACATCTGAGCATTCAGTGCCAGTAGAAATGGTCACAACTACTAATAGTGATCATTAATCCACGCGACGGTTACTACTTGTCAACCAGCAGCAATATTACTGGTTTGTCGGGCAAATCGCAGTTCGCTTTTATCGCCATTTTTCTGCAGACGCTCGTAGAAGTAACGAAATTTTAGTGAATGCAATTACAGCCCCGACTTGGAATAGAGAATTATGCGAAATGAAGAATATAAGCTGGCAAGCAGACCGTCCTATATCTTTAAACGCGTTTTTCGAATACCCACCTCAAGTTATCCCGTAATTAACATTTGATTTCTTGCTCATTCGTCAATTCTACTATTAATGAAGGCTACGGGTAACGAAATACCGTCTTTGGTATTCGAAGACAAGTTATTAACTGGCTAAAAATACCATCTACCATTATCATAGGAAATAAGCCATGCTCCTTACGTGTCGTTTTAAATGTTTAGGTTGACCCGCTGTGCCAGTTCGCGACCACTGTGCGTTTCACGTAACCAGTATTATTGAGAGCGATTAGCACTTATCGCCTCACAAATGCGTTTTAGTATTTTTGTCTAGTACCACATTGTGTACTGAGGTGTGATGTCAAGAGTAGGCAGTGTACAATACCTGTATCCATGTGGTTTGCATTTAGGACCCCTGAATCTGTTGGTGGAGTTGCGATCGACGACTGTCAGTTCCACCAGTGTGTCAAATTAAACAAATATAGCACTGATCAAGCCATCTCCTTCATTCCACCCGATGGGGAATTCATCCTAATGCGTTACCGCAAAACGCGCGTACGTTTCTGGGTTATATCTTGTCTATGTTATTAAATATGGTAGCGCTGGTTTTTGCCAGCCAGTCTTCTCATATTGACCGATCCTCTCCACTTTGTATAGCTTGTTCTGCAATAATCTAAACTTTACTACCAATATCTTTCGACGTCTTGCATGGCATTCGTCTTAAATTTCAATCATTGTGCGTGTAATGCAAAAGCTTTTATTTGGTATTTTATGTTACCCGCACCACATACAGGCTGAGTGTCTTCCACTCATCTGAAAGATCAAGCTTACTTTCACGCATTGTTAGACCGAGTTTCGCCGTAATTGTGCTCGTTACAAATACTCAGCAATGCGGAGTACTATGCGAGAAGCGTCCTTTGTGGCTGAACCCATCACTTCAGCTGTTTTAGCTTACCAGTCGCTTTGTCCGTACTCGCATGATGCTAATTTTAAGGCACCTCGCTTGGCAGAATAGTCACGTATCGTTATTTGTTTTGTTTTGAAGGAAATCACTTTACCTTTCCGACTCATTCCGTTAGTCCGCGAGATTGGAAAACACAAGTTGGAGATTAAGGTCGTTGTGAAGGCAAATTTTAAGGCTAGCCTACTTGCTCAGAAGGTTGAGGTGCGCATACCCACTCCAAGCAACACAAGTGGTGTCCAAGTGGTCTGCTCAAAGGGAAGGGCCAAATACAAATCGACGGAGAACGCCATTGTTTGGAAGTACGTTTTCAGCACCTTTGTCCGCCTTTTCTTCTCCACCGTCTCCCCGCCTCCCCGCCCTAGTTTGATTAGCTCGCCTAGACCTAGTGTGCATTTTTGCCCTCGACCGGCAAAATTGCAATCCCGTTCTTACTTGTCTGTGGAAAATCGCTGTAGTGCACCTCCCCATAAATGTTTCGTTTGTTTAAAGTCCATGCAAGGGCTCGTTGATGGAGGATGTTTTAAGCACTATAATCCCACCAGATGTGAGCATTAGAACTGCACTTACGGGTCATTTCTGGACTGCTCATTCAACGTCGTAAGTTGCCGCTATTCTTGTAAAAGGTTGTGTTCGGAACCGCTATTGTCGAAGTCCAGTTCCTTTCTCGTCTAATCTAAGTTTTGTTTTGCCTCAGACTTCCACGAATCGCTGGAATGAAGGAATCCCAGTTGTCTGCAGAAATTGAACTTCTTCAATCTTCAGATAAACCTCAGCGTTCTAGCCGTTCGCCAATTTCCATGAATTTTGAGGTGTGTTCTAATGATGCCAAGATATTTTATCAAATCAAATCGATTTCAAATCAGTGTTTAATTTGCCTTACGAGTAACCCAACTGAATGCTTGAGAGATTTTTGCTTAGTGCTTGAACCCGCTCATACTAAAAGTGAGGTGTTAATTGTTTGACCGAAAGGTTGTGGAGTGCGAAACTCATTAATTTAATCACGCACTTTGGTACCGATAGTTCCAAGAACTGAATATATTACCTAATAAATGTATTTCCCGCTTCGTAACGTTAAATGGAGTATGCTGCTGTATTGGTTGTGTATTCGTCATTTGTTCGGATTTCTACATTCTAGATATGAGTGAATAGGACTGACAAGGCTGGGTCGAAGTTCTGTTTTTCATCACAGTATCGAAATTGAAAGCAACAGTTTCGTTAAAAATTCCACTGGTTGTAAAATAGCATGTTTTGAAAACTGTAAAATAAGGAAACGCATCTTCTAAATAGACCATCTCGATCAATCACCTGTTAACCCATAAGCCATTGTAAATTCGTCTACCTGATGTTAGAGTGGTATCTACCTCTAAGGCTTCTTTTTTATACCTGTTTCTTGATATAAACTTGTAGGCAAACATCGATGTGTATAAAATCCGAATTTTTAGGCAAGTATTCGTTTAGTAGGTTGGTGTCAAAGTCCCTTGCACGACTTCGTTAATAGGCAATAATAATAATAATCAAATGCCGATCATCTGGCTAATACATTGTGCAATATGTTAGGTCTTCGGACCATGCAGTGTTTACTTGAAGCGCTACATCACAGTTTTCGAATTCCCTTTGGACGACTTTTATTACCAGTTGCTCGTCTATGTGTATCAGATAATTTGATCGCCAGGGCTAAGAAATTGCGACAGCATGCCAAGAAGCGGATGTGGGTTGGTCACGCAATCAGTGGTAGTGGGTATAATTGCATAGGTTTCACCAATTTGTTGAGGCTATGGTAATTCGGAGCGTCGTTGAATGACGAAGTGATCACATGATGGGATGGTAGCGTCCACTAATTTGCGCCTGGTGTGTGTGTGTAGTGTAAGAGGCATTATTATTCTGTGAAGAATGAGGCCTATCGTGGAGTGATTAAAATGCCTTATTTGGCGTGGGACCATAGACGCTTTTAGCATTCGGTAAGACGCCTTCAGGCTTGTTTGACCTTATTTGACGCCACAGGTAAATGGTTCTGATTGGATGCACAGTTTCCGATTTGTCTAGACGAAGCACCTGAGTGGAAGGTAGATGCGAACAATTGCTAACCTCTTGGGTCTAAGTCTTCGCAGCACATCGCTGACAGAGGG